GGGGGGGGGGAATTGAGAGAAGGAGGGAGAGATTGAAAGAGACAGAGAGGAGGGGGATGAAGAGAAAGATTGAGAGAGACAGGGAGAAAGGGAGGGTGCATGAAGCGATGGGTATAGTAACAGTGCATTGGTTAGCAATGGCATTTGGTTTAGCCGTTTCGACAACTAGATCTACAGCCAACTATAAGCAGTACAAGTAAGCTACTTCTTGACAATGGGTTTTTTCCACCGTGATGACATATCAAGACCTTTGTTTAAACATCTCCATGAGTAAGCCTAGCCTATCGTATTGTTCCGAGTGCCTCTCTGTTACGAATTGGCAGTGGTTTTCTTGTGCTTGTTGCCCTTTTGAATTATAGCGGAGTTTTTTTGTGTTGCCTCCCTTGTTTGTATTTTGCAATGATTAGCCTACTACTAGTACTACTACAAGGAGCTTAGAACTGTGAACTCCTTGGCCTTCTGGATCTATTTAACTCCTCATGTCCGGTGAGCCGGTCCATAATAGATCTAGATCCAGATCTAATTTCTTCACATTTTGTTTTTCGAAAAAAACAAGAAAAAAACAACAACTGCTCTTTCGCCTTACTATGGTAGATAATGTAGACTTTGAGAGCTTGCAACAAAACATTTAAAAAATCAGTGACATTTTAGATTTCTGTACATGACGCCCTAGGCCTAATTAACTTCAATTCAAACTCAAACACACAAACAATGTATATGTAGACCTTGATATAGGCTTATTTGACGGCCACAGACTAAGCTCGTGTTTAGCTCCGGACCCGACCCGACCCGAACGCGTATGTGGGCACCCCCTATTAGGCCCGTTTACTTCGCCTTTATTTATTTTTTTTCTTTACGTAGGCCCAGAAGCTATTATACTAGAATCTATAGGGCCCTGGGCCAGCTTAATTGCTTCACTTCTTTTTCTTTCTTTCTTTTTTTTTTTTTTTTTTTGAAGGGGAGGGATGTAGCTCACTCTATCTGAAACATCTAGATCTACGCCTCTAAACTCTAAAAATTATATGTGTACGTTATTGTGTTCTACAGGACTTTCGCAGGCTCTTTTCTACTAGTTCTAGCCCTACTTGTCGTTCCTAAGTAGACTGCACAGACGTGAATGTGCAATGTTTATATTATAATATTCATCACCTCGACAGTTTTTACTCAAGAAAAATTGATCATCTTGCACATTGTTTACTCTCTGTTGATTTCTGGTGTTGTAGAAGTTATGGCAGTTGTGGTATAGCATTTTCCATTTACATTTGTGTAATTCAAGTGAATAAGACGCGTACCAAGGAGTGTGGATTTAACATTTTGCATTCTTCCTAGTCTATTGTGAATAACCTCCTTGGGCGAAACAGACTGGACATACGCGATATGGCATGGCACGGTGTGAGAGAGGGGGGGGGGGGAGAAACAAGATATATTAGATCTATAATGTTTTAAAGGTTAAGATGTAAAAAAATACTTTTAGCCTAGCCAAATAATTTCATAAACCCATTGAAGTTGAGAAGTCACTAAACTTGTTTTCAGATTTTGCTTTGTTTCGTATATAACTGAGAATATAAGTAGAGATTTTGTAAATTCAAGCAGCACAAATTTATCGATAACAAACCAAGACAAACGAAATCGCTATCTCATCCGCCGAATGACCATTCTATCATTCATTGCGACCAAGAAGACACACAGAGCGTGATGAATATTACTTCAGCAGGTAAACCAGCATAATGTTATAACTAGATACTGAATATTTTGAGGGATACATTTGTGGTTGTTTTAAGTGAATATTCGTTGTAGCAGTGTTTTGAGCCAGTCTATAGTGATTGCTCTGAAAAGTTACGAGAATCACGTATTATCGATAATGACAACACCAATCTGAGAGGATGGCGTCAATCAAAGCTCCTCAGTAGCTTGACACTGTCAAATTTTACAAGGTCTACTTTATGTTGTCTCTTTGCTTCTCTTTACCAAAGTCCTGTCCAAGTTTCCTGATTGGTACAAGAGTCTATGTCAGTTAAAAAGGAGTCGTGCTCTCTAACTCTAACGGCCACCTCTATTCTCACCCGGGGTGAGAATAGTGCAGGCGGGTCTTGTGGCTATTCTCACCCGGTGCGCGTGTCAACAAATTTTGCGTTCACCCTAAACCACAGAATTCTACACTGTGATAAGAGAAAAATTGTAGAATTCTCATAATTCTGTGCTGTGAACAAACGTTCCATTACAACTGTACTTGTAGCCTACTAAAAGCGTACAATTTTGTCTGTGGGCAGGGGAGAGAGAGAGAGTGAGAGAGAGAACAAAACAAAATGGCGACCCGCGTAGTTCGGCTCGATTCGAAAAGTTAAATAGCCGTAGCATCTTTGTAGACAACCAAATTAATTTACTTTTGTGTTTTAACATCATTTTTTAACTTTGTTTTGGTCAATTTGATCGTCCACACCGATAGACAGTATTCAGAAAGAGACAGAGAGAGAGAGAAGAGCGGAGGAGTAGATCTTGCGAGAACTTCCGGGCGGGTGAGAATAGCCACTTTCAACTCTAACTGAGCAGGTTAGGTTAGGATTTTGTGAAGTGGGGCAGGCCTGAGCCTGGTGGGTAAATTTATAGAACGAAGTGTATACAGAACCAGGAACAAAGTCACGAAGTATACATATCCGGTAGGGGAACTCTTTTGTGATTTCGGAAAGTTTCAACGCCCAGACCCGGTGGTATGTGTGTGTGTATGAGTGAGAGAGAGGGAAATAGGTGGGGAGAAAGAAAGACAGAGACAAACAAAGAAAAAGAGAATGCTAGCGATACACAGAGAGAGAGAGAGACTGCTCGATTGAAATTATGACATTGTTCTTTTCTTCAAATTGTGATTCCTCCAACTCCAAAACAGGAAAAACGATCGTTCATTGAAAAGACATGCCGGAATTTATTAGCCCTAGACCTAGATCTAGATCTAGGCTAGCCTCGAACTAGTCACTAGATTCTAGTCTAGTATAATTCTAGATCAATGATTTATACATCATGTCTGTCTGTCTAGATCTAGATTTAGGCCATAGATCTAGAAGAACCTAGGTCAACCCTGAACCAGGAGGGCGTTGAAACTTTCCGAAATCACAAAAGAGTTCCCCTACCGGGTCTGTATACTTTGTGACTTTGTTCCCGGTTACCGAGTCTGTACACTCCCTATAGAAACCCTTCCATCTCATAAAGGGTATTATTTTGTAGCTCTTCGTAGGTTTTTTAGGGCCCTGAACACGATTTTGGCATTGAAAAACGTCGCAAATGGTTAGTTTAGATGTTACAGCACTTGATTTCAGGGGGGGAGACACCCCCCCTATCCGCCCTACTACACAGCTATAAACGTACTCGCACGTCAGGGGGAGACCCCCTGAAACCCCCCTAATGACTATAAATTAGCAGTGCCAATGAAAATTTAAATTTTCACTTTAGCCCTTTTTTGGGGGGGGGGGGGGGGTACCTAAGAAAGAATTTTCAATTCTAAGAATTATGCTTCGGTTCATAAATAAAAAAGTTATAGGGTTGTAAAGTCGGCAAAATATGGATGACCCACATATTAGGAAAATACTCCTAAAAAGTGGACCACGCAGTAGCAGATTCTGTAAGAAAATCGACGATATCTCGGTAACTAATTGGAGTGTTCGAGAGAAACTTGGCTACCCGGTGTGTTTTTGAGTGTAGAAATCATTTCTGCAGTCAGATTTACTGCAAATTTAGTAGTTATTTTGTTATAATTAAAATTGTGGTGTACATATATTACGATTTTGCGAAAAAGGGGTGTCGGGATGAGTCCATTTTATTTATAGCATCGTATCACAACATGGGATCTTTAAGAATATATGTCGGCAGCGTGACTGAATAATTGCAAAGTTTTTTAATGATGACTTTAGACCATGCCAACCGTAAAAGATTAGTTAATTCAATCTAGCATGCCGTACAATTAAAAATTCTTTTTCCCCGTTGAGACGTGAACATCCCGAGACGAGATAACCTCGCCTCGGAATGCCCCCATTGCGGTGTTACAGGGGAATGGAGAGAAAAACAACCGGATGCGCGCGCCCACCATTGCCCTATTTCAAGTGACCAATGAACGGGCCCGGAATAGTCATGCGGGGATTTGTAGGTATACATTTGCCACGAGAGTGAAGTGAAAATGGCCGGTCTCCGTGCGAAGCCGCTTTGGATAGGGGGGTAGTCGTGCATTTATGATCAGGTCTAAACAACTACTTGACACAGAACGTTCAAATTTGAGCACACTATAGAGGATAGATAGATCTATTACCATCTCGGCGTTGAAATTCAAACTCCTTATAGTTTTCGGTGTACAAGATACGAAAGTGTTCCCGACACCAAAAGTAAAGGTTATTTTATATGTGTACGAACTTCAACGTCCACATATCATTAGTTTTCCCTATTTTCTGATTGGTTGCCGAGTTTCATTCGGATTGGTTCAGAAATAGAGCAGACCGAGGTTGACAAAGTTAGTCACCTACACTTCGGCCGGGTCCGCAAAATCGCCCGTAAACGGGGACCAAATTTTTGCCACGCGGGAAAGCCCAATTGGCATTGCTACTACTACTATAAATGCATGCATATCCAAAAAAATCTTAACTAAAAAAAACTGACCTTATTCGTATATCCGACGGCACTAAAGAGGTGAAGGAGTTGACTTCCGGTAGTGGATGTGACGCGAAACGGGAGTGCTTTCTATAAAAATACTGCCTGATGAGTAAGTAAACACAAGCGGATAGCTAGAGAACGACAACTAAACGCCAATGGCCTATTTCTTGTTTGGCGTCATTGAGTAGCAATGTCCACCGAGCGCATTTTGTTCTGCCGATTTTTGGCCCCCGCAGCGGGGGTGTTTCGTGGGACGCACTAACGCAAAGGTTGTTGTCTTCAACTCGCTCTCACGCCGCTTCTTGTGAATGGATATGAATGAAACTTGGCAGCCAATCAGAAAAAAGGTCAATCTCGTAGTATGGTTTGACAACATTGTACCCATCCTAGAAGCAGTCGAAAACGTTTGCGAAAGTGGTTGATGTGGTGCGCTTTGAAGATTTTTTGGAGCTGTGATTTGTCAAACTGACTGATACGTTGTACACCATTTTTCTTTATTCCCTTAAAATTTCAAGCTTCTGTGTTTAGCGGTTTTCGCGTAATCTTTAAAAAATGTGGGAGTAACGAAGGGAAAAAGCGACATTGCCATTTGCGCTTGCTGGGTGAACGACCTGCGGCTGGGAAATTTCCACTGAGTGACGTCATCAGCCATCGGTCGCCTCGGGCGCTACAAACGAGGCCCCGCTTATGTGAACTGGAAAGGGGGGGAAGGATACTTGAAAACTGAACGGGGGCCTTGATAACTTGCGTTTTAGTCACAATACAATAGATGTAGTCATTTTTATTTGCTTGATTGCATGATAGAAGAATAGAAACAGAAAAGCAAACATCTTGAGAAGTGGTATGGTATTGTGTTTGCGTTATGAAAGCCTATTCCCCCCTCTTGGGAAAGCACACACTTGGACTTGTCCTGTGTGCTCTGTTTGGAAAAGTGAGGCATTAAGATTGTTATTAAAGAGTATGGTACTTATTTAGTCCAGTCTGGAAAGATAGTCCCGTTTATACATTGTTATCGTTCACGCGTGAGTGCGCGCGCGCGCGCGTGTGTGTGTGTGTGTGCGCGCGTATGAGAGAGAGAGAGAGAGGGGGGGGGGGGGGTGTAAATATGTTACATTTATTTATTGTATGAGTTGTAGCCTTCACATGCGAAATATTCCCATGACTTATAAACTATATTATCTGAATGCATCTTAATCTACCACACAATAGGACACTGTCCAACAATGGATATACACAGAGACGATCTTATTTTCTATAACAAAGTATGCATGCTTTTACTAGTACAGAACTGGATTTATTAGTAGCTCTCTACTTACATTTTTGTGACAAATTGATCCAGAGCATTGTTTGGCAAGGAGGAACCTTTTATGTTGCCAAGTTTCATTCAAATATCATGACTTTGGGAGAACATATGACTGATAATCTTTGTAAATCTGTAAAGAACGCCACTTTTTTACTTGTTAATGTCTTTACAACTCAAAAAGTATGACAGATATATTAAAAATCTGACTGCATGACTAGATTCTGCATTAAAAAATGTACTAGACTGCCAAGTTTCATTTACATATTCCAAGAAATAGGCGAGGTATGACAAATATTGTCTCAAAACGCACCGAAAACCGCCACATTTTTACCTATACGTCTTCATAACTCAAAAAAATAGGATAGCTATGAAAAATCTGAAAGCAGGACTAGATTCTGCACTAGAAAATTTACTGGGTTGCCAAGTTTCTTTTAAATACTCCGAGAAATGAGCGAGTTATGACGAATATTGTCTCAAAACTCACCAAAGAATGTCCCATATTTTGAGGGTTTTTTTCATTATATATAAAAGTGTACCAGAAATTAATTGATTAAAAAATCCGTAACTTTTTTGTTTATTGATGGATTTCAAAAATTCAAAAAGTAACACTTTCTGGCAAAAAAAGAATTTTCATGGTCATTGCTACATTGAGGGATTCCCACTCTTCTGTCATGGTGGCAACACGACCGCACCGTGAACCTGCAGACTCGGATTATTTTCTTTTCAACTTGCAGAACTGTTCGGTTTCGGATTGGTTGTCTCTGATTGTGCAGCACCCGTCTTCCGCCCAGATTGATTCTGATGCTGTACACAGCGTAAATTGAGAAAAATAAGAAGACTAAGAGTAGGCCTACATATGAAAGCAAGTTAAAACAAAGTTCAACAACGCAGTGCAAATCATGGACCATTACGATCCAGATCGTTTCTTTTAAAATCTTGTAAGCGCAAGAAATTTTAAAGCACTTTCAAGAGATTGGACTTAGAATCTAATAGGACGCTGCGAAAGGAGTAGATCTAATTCCCGACTGCAAAGTTTGCGAATGGATATATTGTAAGGTGCAAAAGCAGTATATATATATTATAATAGGGGAACCTCTAGGGGGAAAGACTCAAAGAAGTAGGAAGCTTGGAAACTGCCAGTACAAACCGTGCGCTACGCAAAATCATCACTATTTTTAGAATCACGATCAGATGACGTGGCGGACAACCCCGTTACGAAGTTAAACAAAATGGCTGTGTTACTCTAAATATCGACCAATGGCGTTTAGTTGTCTTTCTATCCGAATGTGTAAGTAAACAGACCCATTCATTTTGCTCCAAGCCTTTGAACATCCGTGTTTGTTTCACTGTCAGTTCATTTGTTATTGGGGAATGATATTGTCGGATTGTCCTCATGATACTCCTCTATTAGAATCTATTGACTAATTAAATTATTGATATTGACATGGCATTGATTGTGATGGGTAGGCTGGTATGCCTATTACGCGATGTCCATTGCGGATGGGGTCGGGGGCGATGGACTCACTCATCGCTTGAAAACAAACGTGTTTGTTTTTGGGGCGACGAGTTGGGCGTGATTGGCTTGTACCACAACAGCTGCTTTGCACCCTCAATCTGGCGAGCAAACTGCCCCGCCCCGATCCCTCAATGGGCACCCCGTATTGTAAAGTATTAACTTTTACTTTCCTGTGTGAGGTGAGAATATTCCACCCACGTATTATTCTCTCCCAGGTTTTTAGTTTTTCGTTTCCGCCCTTTTTATTTCGTTTAGGTTTTGGGTCTATTACAGAAATTATGGGATGTTGGAATTCAACACAGATCATCTGTTTTAGATCTATGTCTAACTCGTTGAAAAAATGTTTTTTCGCCCTCAAGCAGTATCCCAAACCTTTTTCAGTCTTTCAACACAATCTCTAATAGAGCCTCAAGTTGAGGCTTTGTGCACAGCTTAGGCCTACACATGTAGTACACCAGTTAAATAAATATTTCAACAGAAACCACATAGACGTTATCATCTCAAATTTCGTCCTCACTGGTTTCAGCAAAATCGTCCTCTAAATCGCTCGTTTTGTGGTAATTTTAGTTAAAATAAAAGAATAACAATACACTGCAATGCGATAGTTGTCGAAGCCCACGAAACCTGGCAATTTTGCAATTCCAAATGACTTGGCCAGGTTTTGCGTACATCGACAACCAAGATATTGAGCAGCTGAATTCGTCCACCTCGCGATCAAGTAATAATTACTCTCTTATTTCTCAAACTTCTATCATCCTTATGTAGCTGAGAAAGGCCTACCTGTTCTCAACACCCTGGTGCGAATAAAATCCATTGTATTCTCAGACTGGGTGAGAGTAACAATTTAACTATTCATCCCGGGGTGAGAATAACGACAGCCTTTACTTTCACACCCATACATACATGCAGATGCACTGCCTTCGCGAATCGTTTTTTTCTAGAAAATTCTCAAATCGAATCGTTTTGTTTTTTTCTAGAAAATTCTCAAATCTACTTAGGCCTACTTGCATAACTTGCAACCCTAGAACACCCCCCGTATTTAAAAAAAATTAAGTTAAGGGGGCGGGAGGCTGTTATCAGTGTTGTTGGATGATGATATCAACAATTTTTGACATCATGCTTGTTGTCATCATTGTAGGATCAACCAAAATGCTTCCCTGTTTGACTGTATTGTGGCCACGCTCCATGCTGAGTTATCTCAGCTTTCTTGTGTGTTTGTGGAAAAGATGATGTGTGTATGGCACGGGTTTGAACACATATATATGCTGTCTTCTGAGCAACAAAGATACATTTTTATCTTTTTTCTCATTGACTATCACAGCTACTTATTTATTTTGACCGGTCCTTTTACTTCCTGTGCGTTATGAATGGACAGTGATTGCACAATGGACTTCAGTGTCAATTTTTAAAGTAACATGAAATCAATTTTCATACTTGTAGCAATCAGATATCTTTAAAAATTTCAGTCCTTTTGTAACTTATTTGAAAGATAACATTCCAAACAGTGCAAAACTTTTAAGGTTTAGGCATGCACTGCACGCACAGTGTCTCTTTAGTTTTATATTTCCTAAGAAAATGTTTAAAAACCTATAAATAAAATAGATGCAGTTGGTTTTATTGCAATGGTGCAGTGTTTGGATACTTTAGCGTAATGTAAAATAATTCACTCGAAACTTTTCAATATGCAGGTCAAGCTGATTTTTTAAAAAATTACCAATGGCTACAGAAGTATTCTTTTTTATGAGACTAAGGTGTTTCCTGTGTTGTCTGTTTCAGCGGGAGTGATATCACTCCTGGAGGAGCCTGAGCCACAACTGAAAGCCTTCGCTTTGAACAAGCTTGACAACATTGTCGATGTCTTTTGGCCAGAGATTTCTGAAAATGTGGACAAGATCGAAGTCCTCTCCGAGGATCCCAATTTCAAGTCAAGCGAGTTGGCTGCCTTGGTTGTATCCAAAGTTTACTATCATTTAGGGGCCTTTGAGGAATCTGTCACATTTGCTCTAGGAGCAGGCGGTCTCTTCAATGTGAATGATACCTCGGAGTTCGTGGAAACTATCATTGCCAAGTGCATTGATCACTACACAAAGCTTCGGGTGCATAATGCTGATGCCACAGATGAAGCTGACAAGAAGCCCATAGATCCAAGGCTTGAGGCTGTGGTGAACCGCATGTTCCAGAGATGTTTAGATGACAAGCAGTTCAAGCAGGCCGTGGGCATTGCTCTGGAGACCAGGAGAATCGATATTTTCGAGAAAGCCATCAAGACGTCGGATGATGTGGCGGGTATGCTGTCCTATGCTTTCAAGGTGTGCATGTCTCTCATCCAAAGCCGTCAGTTCCGCAACACAATTCTGCGCGTGCTGACCAGCCTGTACATGGGTTTGGGCACTCCTGATTACATCAACGTCTGTCAGTGCTACATCTTCCTGGACGACGCTCAAGCTGTGGCCGATATCCTGGTGCAGCTCACCAAGGGCAGCATAGATTCTGTCCTCATGGCCTATCAGATCGGCTTTGACCTGTATGAGAGTGCCACACAGCAGTTCTTGCAGCGCGTCCAGGCTGCCCTCCGTGTGGCGGCTCCAGCTCCTATCTCTGCGCCTCCCACACTGAACACAAAGAAGCCTGCCGCTGAGAAGTCCGAGTCCAAGGAGAAAGAGAAGGAAGAGAGTATGGAGACGGACGAAGGAGAGGCTGCCCCAGCTCCTGCAACAGAGTCCAAACCGCCCACCAGAGATCTCAGCAGTTTGAGCAGCGAGGAGAAGGAACAGCAGGGACGCATCGAACGACTTCACACCATCCTGGGCGGCGAGACCACCATTTTCTTGCGCCTGCAGTTCCTCATCAAGAACAACAAGACAGACATGCTGATCCTGAAGAACACCAAGGATGGTGTGAGGAACTCTGTGTGCCACACAGCGACTGTGATCGCCAACTCCTTCATGCACTGTGGCACGACGTCAGACCAGTTCCTCCGTGACAACCTGGAGTGGCTGTCCCGGGCCACCAACTGGGCCAAGTTTACGGCCACTGCCAGCCTTGGGGTCATCCACAAAGGTCACGAGAAAGAGGCCCTCAACCTGATGTCTCAGTACCTGCCCAAAGACGTGAGTCCGGGCTCTTCTTACTCTGAAGGAGGCGGCCTGTATGCTCTGGGTCTGATCCACGCGAACCATGGAGGGGAGATCACAGACTACCTACTGAACCAGCTCAAAGATGCCACAACAGACATGGTCCGCCATGGAGGATGCCTGGGTCTTGGGCTTGCTGCCATGGGCTCTGCCCGGCATGATATCTACGAGCAGCTCAAGTTCAACTTGTTCCAGGACGATGCAGTCACTGGGGAAGCTGCTGGCTTGGCTATGGGCTTGGTGATGTTGGGAACCAAGTCCTCCACCGCCATCACTGACATGGTTCAGTATGCTCAGGAAACACAGCACGAAAAGATCCTACGAGGCTTGGCTGTTGGCATAGCCCTTACCATGTACGGCCGCTTGGAGGAAGCAGATGCTCTTATCGAGTCGTTGATCCGAGACAAGGACCCCATCCTCCGCTGGTCTGGCATGTACACGCTGGCTATGGCTTACTGCGGCAGCGGCAACAACCAGGCCATTAGGAGGCTTTTGCATGTGGCTGTCAGCGACGTTAACGACGACGTGAGGCGGGTGGCAGTCACCTGTCTTGGTTTTCTTCTGTACCGCACTCCAGAGCAGTGTCCTAGTGTGGTATCTCTTCTCTCCGAGAGCTACAACCCTCATGTGCGTTTTGGAGCTGCTATGGCTCTTGGCATTGCCTGTGCTGGCACTGGCTTGAAGGATGCGATTGGTCTTCTGGAGCCCATGGCCAACGACCCCATCAACTATGTCCGACAAGGGGCGCTCATCGCTTCTGCCCTTATCCTCATCCAGCACAATGAGTCCACATGTCCCAAAGTCACCCATTTCCGCCAGCTGTACGCCAAGGTAATTGCCGACAAGCACGAAGATATCATGGCCAAGTTTGGTGCCATCCTGGCCCAGGGAATCATCGACGCTGGTGGCCGCAACTGCACCGTTTCCTTGATGTCCCGCATGGGTCATACCAACATGGAGGCGGTGGTGGGCATGCTGGTCTTCTGCCAGCACTGGTTCTGGTACCCCCTCACACACTTCCTCTCTCTAGCCTTCAAGCCCGCCTGCCTGGTGGGGCTCAATGGTGACCTGAAGATGCCCAAGGTTGAGTTCAAGTCCAACGCTCGCCCATCCTTGTACGCATACCCTCCAGTCCTAGAGGAGAAGAAGGACAAAGCCAAGGAAAAAGTGGAGACTGCTGTCCTGTCCATTACCGCAAAGCAGAAGAAGAAGGATTTGGAGAAGAAGAAGGACTCTCAGACATCCGTTGATGGTTCAGCAGCAGCAGAGTCCATGGAAGTGGATGACAGCAGCAAGAGCTCTTCTGCTTCCAAGGAAAAGAAGGTGAGAGAAAGAGCGATTGCCATTTATTACCTTTGTTTGACTCATAAATATTAACAAGTTTGACCTGGAACTCTTGGCTAACATACGGGATGATATAAAAAAAAACTGTACAGTTTTGTTTATTGGTATTTTCCTCTGCACTGAAGTTTTGCGTTTCAAATTTGTACTCATTTGGAAGTCAAAGGGAATTTGTCTGATATTCATTTTAGATAAATCCACAGATACGTTTTGCTCTACATAGCGCGTAAAAAAACAACCCATTTTTAGCTATGTCCCCATTTTTGTAGCATGACGCACTAGTTCACATTAGACCTACCACTAAAAATCCCTATGACAACACCGTATTGCAAACTACAGTAGTTTAACAAGCCAACAGAAGTTTCCAGATAGTTTTCTCAAGTTTCCTTTGCCTGCTGAGTTCATAGTTAAGATTAGTACAGAGCGGAGAGCTTGTTGTATGGAACATTTCCTCACCACCAATTCATTTCCTCGATCATCTTGAAAAGCGTGAACATTTCCTCTTTGACATTTGGTTCCTTGGCAAAGGGCATATTCACCTTTCAGGTTATATCACCTCCACGAATGCTATTTCAGCAACCCCACTCCCATTGTCTCTAGAAACAGCTCCATACCTATAAGGTGTACAGTGTGTTAAGTGGCTTTAAGTGCTCATGGTTGAGTGGATCCTTGTGTTTGGCCTCCACTGAACATTACAAACGACATATTAAAATGTTGCGAATGCAAAGTAGGACAAATAGACAATTGTTCTCGGAATTCCAGAATTTAAAAAAATGTTTTTTTTAAAACTCTGTACGGTATAAGAAGAGAAATGCTGTTCAAAGGTTACGGGAATCGAAAGGTTAGATTTTAAAATTATAAGGAAAGTAAAAATACAAAACCAATCAGTCCATGACTTCCTTTATGTTACAAGATCTTATAAATTTGTACATTTTGCATTGAAAGAGGTGGTTTTTATAAAAGCCATTTCCGTTTTTGAAAATAAGTTTCTTCTTTGTGAATTGTATGTCAGACAAATTCCTTTTGAATGAATTATATCTGTTCCAAATTACAACATTCTAACACAAATTTTGTGCGACATATTCAGAAAAAAAGCTGTACAGTTAGGTTTTTTTTATCACCCTGTATTTTAAGTGAGTGTAATACCACATTTCTTACTTTGCACTGAAGATGTATTGGATATTTTATGGAGGCTGGTGGTTTATAGAAAAAAACTGTTACAGTTGAGTATTTCATAGTACTAACTATAACAGTATATTATGGTACAGAGGCTGTTATGGTTTCTAGAAATAAAATGCAATGGATGTAATACATGTGTATTGGCAGAGTAACTCAATTATTTAAATCTTTTTATTGAGTTCCTGATGATTTTTATTTAACGGTGTTGTTGAATATTGGATGCATACTTTTCAAAGACCTGACTAGAACCTCCTGGTTTTAGCCTGTCTTGAATGGACAAGGAGGGGTTGTTTTTTGTTAGGCATTTTTTTACTCTATTTCCTCTGCAATAGTAAAATATATGGTAGAATACTCATGTGCTCTTGTATGGTCCATTCAACAGGATGAGAAGCCCTCAGAGAAGAAAGAAGCTGAGGAAGAAGATGCGACTGAAAGTACAGAAAAGAAGAAGGAACCAGAGGCAACCTTTGAGATCTTGTCAAACCCTGCACGCGTCATGAAGGTTTGTTTGTTTCGTGCTGAAAATTGATCGTGTTGTTACTTTATATTTGCATAGCTGCCACTTTCCCGCTAAATAGCGGAAACTCCGCTTCATCTAGTTTTTCCCCGCAACTTTCCTCCTTCCTCCGCTGGACCGCTCTTGGTCGCAAATTTCATACTTTTTTCCCCCGGAAAACACCGAACCGGGAGAGAGACGAAAATGTAGCTTGCGCATGTCCGCCCGTAGCTTTCTACTTCCGTTCTTCTAGGCCCAGCGCTAGTTTCACAGTGTTTATTGTTGTGAAGCAGCACAGTGTCGATCGGGCATCGGAACGTTAGCGCGCCGAGTTGTCATTGAAATTGGCGGAAATTCGAAAGAAATTGATGCAAAATGCAAAAATAAAAGGAGCTGGGATGAGAAAGAAGCAGCCGGTGTGCGGCTTGAAAAGTTCATTAGAAAATTGAACTGGCCGTTTTTTTGCGAAAGAAATCGCGCCCCGTGGCACTCCTGTACAATTGCGGTCCTGTTTGTTTACATGGCGGCTATTGTGGCTGCTGTGGAAGTGAATCTAGATCTAGAAAGTCTATCTCTAGATATAATCTAGATGTACACATATTTAGATATATCTAGATCTAGATTAGATAGCCTTGGCTATAATTTTAATTCAGTTTAGATCTCTAAATAAGAAACACACTACAGGGGCACTAAGTGCAAATGGGACCGCAATTGTACAGGAGTGCCTGCATCCTTGATCCGATACTGCTCTGAGTCTACGTCTATGTACAAGTTTAAAGTGAAAGAAATCTTTTGAGACACCAACTGGCAAAAAACGCTGGATTTTTAGTCACCAAGTCCAAACTGTGTCAAATTGACTCGAATGCTTGTTAGTCAACTTACTGCCTTTATGGTTTTTTTTGGTGTTTTTTTTTTTTTCAAGTACATTTTAATTCAGTTGCCTATGGTTAACAATATGACAGTTTTCCCCTCCCAAACCGTAGGCTAGATTTTCCAGTATATATTGCCTCTGGATCTCGCTGATTTCGGAGAGAGCGCGTACGCCTTCGCGTGAATTTCCTCCTTTTTAAAAATTTCTGAGTGGCAGCTATGTATTTGCTACAGATGTTCTCATTATGGCTGCGTCACTTCTTCCCAAGTAAACAGGGATGCCACTTTTCCACTTTTTTAAAACGATATTTCCGGCATTTTGATCCTGATCCGCTATTCCGTTATTGAGATCGAAAGATAGAATCTATAGTTGGAGAAGAAAAAAATGAACAAAAAACCCACACACGCACAACTTACGCCAAATGTTCAAATATGGGAAAAACGAAAACTTCGCCATAAGTTTAAATAACAGGGAGAAAAAACCCCCGGAAGATTTGCACTATATCTCAGCAACCTTTGGGTTTCAAATTGATATTCATATGTTAGCAAGACTGGCGCATGGATTTTCAGCTATTTTTAAAAAAGTTGAGTGGCATCCCTTCGTAAAGCTGGAAATGGGCTGGTAGACACTTGAGTTGATTTGTGTTTGGAGGAGGTGCAGATTTTGCAGTTTCTGTTGGATTATATCTGTTTGTTGGATAGGTAATCCCGGTTGCAGTTGGCTTTTTTTTTTTCCCCCAAAGTAAATAGTGATGATCACTGTCAGCTGTTGTTGTTATGATCTTGTGTTGAAATCTCTAAGTAATATCGGCTCCTGTATCTTTCAAATGATATTATGTGTGTGTACTGAATTTACCTTTATGTGGATCAATGTGGGTTTTACATTTGATCAAACCATTCTTTGGTTTTGTGACCCAAAGCGATGCTACGTGGGTGGTTGGCGGGTGCTATGGTATGGTTTTGTCCTTCTTTTTTATTCAACGATCTATCGTCCTGTCTGTCCTCCTTTTTTTGTGTATGCTACTCTCTTGTAACTCTTCTATTCTTCAGCACTTATATGACCTTATTGTGTCGTAAAACTCTTAAGAAAACTTAAAAAACGATGCTACATGATGCGACATCTCTGACTGTGCTTTAATGTGATACGAATTTATAAGCCCTTAGATTGTGACAACCCTTAGCTTTGTGTGGTGAACTCCCTGGGTTGCAGATAGTAAACCTTGGATGAAGTAGAAATTAATTAACTCTTTGAACCCCATCGGGCGCTGGGAGGGTCCGGCTGTAATAACCCTGTTCCCCATCTGACGCTCCCAGCGTGTGACTCTTGTGACAACTGTCTCGTTTTATTTAGTGCTGGTTTTTGCTTGTTTTTCGGAACTATTCACGAACCAAGTTTTTAGTAATGACTTTAGAAGCCTTTGTTTCCGCTATTTAGAAGTTGGAGGCAAGCTTTTGGGGTGAGAATGAGACATAGTGCACTAGGTTTAGGTGACTGTAGAAAACACTCAGGTCTTAAAGAGTTAAAATGGGTGGATACTTTCAGACGATAATTCGATTTTGTTGGTTTCAGATGAAGTAAGTAATTGGCCTAAGTGGCTCCTTCATGTTTTGTCAGCACTTTTTAAAATCTAGATTCAGTTGCATTTTGTCTAAATCTGAGATTTTCTGGTGTTAAGTATAATTGTGTTTAAAGTTCTGTTTCCTTTTTCCTTTAAAAGGCACAACTGAGGGTGTTAAGTGTTGAGAACAGTCGCTACCAACCAGTGAAGGACCTGGCACATGGAGGCATTATTCTGTTGAAGAACCGTAAGCCGGGAGAACAAGAGGACATTGTGGAGACTGTGCAGGCCGGCGGACCCAAGGCGGAGGAGGAAGAGGAGGAGCCTGAACCACCTGAGCCTTTTGAGTGGACCGAGGATTGATGAGAGGGTGGGTTAGTACGAGGACAGGAGCTTATCTTGTGGCTGGTGGCTTTGTGTCCATGATGAGTGCTGGTGTTTGGGTGTTTGAAAGAGTTCCGGTATGTGTGTGTGTTTGCTTATCATGAATGAATTTTTGAATGATAGAGTTTTGGTAAGTTTATGAATGTACAGGGGGGGGGGGGGTTCCCTCTGTATGCATGTCTCTAAATTAGTGAGACAATAGTCTTTGAAGTGTAGTACTGTTGTGTGTTGTGTGTGTCTTTTTTTTTTCCTCCTTTTTAAAAAATGAGATGCCGTTCACAGTGTGTACATGAGTGTGCTCCAACTCTCAGGCAGACTTTGCTTGTAACTTCAAATTGAGATTTTCAGTCTACACCAAGAACAGTAGATTCCTCCTATCTGGCATGGTTCGTTAGATCGTAAGGGAGTGAACTGCTATTGCCAGTCAGGTTTGAGCTTTGAAGTGTCACAGAATGAATTGTGGTCATTTAATGAGTTACTAAAAGTAGGTGTCACTTGGGTTCCCCTGGCGAATTTCAGGAAATGTTTGAAAACATCTGTGTTTTTTCTTTTGGTATTTCATTAATGTTGAAAATGCAGGTGGTCTTTGGTATTTCAAGAACTTGATAGAGAAAGAGATGAATATTTGTACGATACTTTCCAGTAGTTGGTTTCTGTTCTCTTAAAACTGTGCTTGTTGGGTCTTTTTTGGTACATGTGTACTACACGCGTGATGTCTGTGTGTCGTGCAGCATGAAGTGAAGAAGTTTGTCGTGAAGGATATGTGATAATTTGGTATGTAAGAAAGTCTTTTGTTGACTTCCTTTATTATAAGTCACTGAAATACAATGTGTCAGAAAGAATGTTTATTGTGGAGGTTTTCCATCAAGTGTGCATTGTGCAAAGACATAAAAATGTTCGTAACTTTTGATGAGAAGTTAATCTTGAATGTTTATTTTTTTAAATTTTGGTTTAAGGCAATGGAAAAACTTTATTCACTGAATGAAAAAAAAATGGAAATACCAAGTTTTGTGAATATTTGATAGTGGTTAAAGGCTTCTGCGATGGTTTTGTTTGTCGGTTTTTTTTTCCCATGGCTACAAAGTTTTGAAAAATCATTTTGAGTGTAGAGAGGAGCCATTCATTACTATTGATAAATAAGTTAACGTTTCTCAAACAAAGATTACTATCTTCTTCTTCTTCCTCTTGATCGCATCACACTTGAAGTCTGGTATCTGTCATAAATTGGGCGGTCCTGCTCAGTTCATCTGTTGGCCGGTCTTACTTCTCTAGATTACTATAAATAAGGCTGCAAGTGAATGTTTTCTCTTTATATATATATATAAAATAAAAGCTCCCCACACGAATAGCTCTTTTGTTTGTGTCTGAGCTCTGCGGACTGAGATGACTAGTTGTAGATCTGGAGCCACGATCACTTAGTTCAAGATGGAATGTAGTCATTGGCAGCTGTCTGATCTCTGCCCACTCAGTTTCTTTAATATATCTTTTTTTTTTCACTTGTTTAGTGGTTGATGTCTATGATATAGTTTACTACTATATTGTAAATTCTATTGGGCCATTTAGTTCTTTAGAATGTTAACTTTTGTATAATTAAAAACAGAATGTTTTTTTTTTTTTATGTTGTCATTTAGTAATAATGCAGTATCTTCATTGTTTGGTTTCGTGAGTCAACTGTTCTGTAGAATGGGTTGAGGAAGTTTGTTTTTTAACATTACTTTTGGATTAGACTCGAACATCTTTTTTGATTTGAGGATGATAATAAATGATGGCTTCTACTATGAAAATGATATCTATTTGAAATTTCTCAGGCTTTGTGCTGAAGGATTTGTATTAAAAATTTTGCTGTTGAAAACACAATAATTTCTGTTTCCATGAGTTCACTGTTGTTGACAGTTTTCAGAATGCCACTGACTGGAGTGTTTTTAGGCCATTCCCAAAGGGGGGACATTTTTCGTTCTAGTGCACAGTAGAATTGTAAATGGGCTGATCTAACTATGACATGCTCATGACTGTGTCTGTACTACGACAGGGAACTGCTGCTTTTTCTTTCCTAAGCCTTACTATCGTCATTTTCCTCTACTTCTTTTGTGTGTTTGTCATACTCTTGTGACCCGCTATTTCCGGGGTGCCTTGATAGTCGAAGCAGACTTAGTGCTGTTGAAGCTAGAGAGGTGAGCAGAGTAAGTCTGATTCCCTAAGGACTTCTCTGATGACATCCACCCCTTGGCGCTCATATGACTTTATGCAGTTGCGAGCGCTGTAAAACCTCTACTAAAACTAAAAAAGAGGCATGTGCAGTAATCATGGAGTAGGTGGTAGGGCGAAAGTGGCACACTGACCATGGGATTGACTATGACGGATCCAAAGAGTTTTACTGAGGTTTTTCACCTTTGGATACGGCTTGCTAGGCTTTCAACATGTCCATGAACAGATAAGTCAGGCACTCTGACAAAGTGGGTGGTTGGCGGGTGCTCTGGTGTGGTCTGCTCCTTCTTTCCTATCAAGCGCCTATTGTCCTTATCTCCCCTGCTCCTTTTTTGTTTGTTACTCTCTTGTAACCCCTTTAATCTTCGGCACTTATTTAAACGTTATTGTGTTGCAAGTGCCGTAAAACACTTACTAACACAAACAAACTCTAACTAAAGGATTGTGTCAAGTGTCTCAATAAAGTTAATAAAATTGAAGCTAAGACTGAGTGTGAGAAGCTCGAAATGAGTGCCATGAGCAGAAGTTTGTGTATGGCTCACTTCATATAGACGCATTGAGCTGAAGGTCTCACAGAGAAATGGTTATTTTGTGTGAAAAAGCCTTTGTAAGATTCCCTGGTACATGTGCATAGATTTACAGGCGACTATGGATGAGTTGATGTAGTCGGAGGAGTGAAAGAAAGATCAACTCGTCCTTAGTTCAGCTTAACCGTAGGGATATCTGTAAAAAAGAAGAGATGCTGGGATCCGAGAAAAAGATCAACTTCACCTAAGATCAACTCAAACGAGTGCAACAAACACAGGTGGAGTTGATTAGTTCAGTAGTTGGTCTGCTTGCTTGTCTTGGGTAGATACAGTGTGCATCTAATTCTGATGGCTTCTTCTTCCAAGTCTGTTCCTGTCTGTCAGCTTGCATGGGTGGTTGGCGGGTGCTCTGGTGTGGTTTGCTTCTTCTTTCCTATCAAACATCTGTCGTCCTTATCTCCCCTCCTTCTTTGTTATGTTTGTTACTCTCTTGTAACACCTCTAATCTTCTGACGCTCATATGACCTTATGCAGTTGCGAGCGCCGTAAAACCTCTACTAAAACAAAAACTAAGTGTCAGCTTGCTATTGATCCTCCCAGCACAATATATTAGGTTACGTGTATATATATATTATATAATATATAAGTATGGCTGTGGGGCGTTGATTGGTGGCACTGCTTCATTTCTTCCCCTCAGATTCTCTCTCATTACTTCTTCAATATTTTTCTTTTGTGTGTGTGTGTGTGTGTGTCTTGTTTTTTTCCTTGCACCAAATGAGAATAGACGTAATCGTGTGGATGCGCTGCTCTTTAAACTTTACTATGGATGGTTGGAGGCCAACCTCTCCTTCCCTCTGTTGTTGCTTTCTTATTTTTTCACCAGTGTCTGTGATCTTCTTGGGTCGATCATGTATTCCCTGGACCATTTTCAGTTTTACCTTGACTATTCTAGCGTTGGTAAAGGTTATTAATTTCGAACCACCTCCCCCGCCCCTGACCTCCCCCTTTCCCCTTCATGGGTTAAAAGAACCCTTGACGCATTACGTCATGGCCACTCAAATGTGGCCCCAGGAGAGTGGAGACTCCGAATGTGCAGTAAGCTCCGAATGGAAGACTACAGTTTACTTCTATCACTTTCTGTGCAACACGTTAATGCTGTTGATCATTTACATTTTGTCGTCTTTTTGTCGCGTGGGGTAGGCCTACACACACACATACAGCAAGACTGGACTGAGGGCTCTCAATATTGTGTACTTTAAAAAAAGTTCAAGCATGATGCGATCTCTTGGAAAAGCAGTAAACAAGACCAGGCGATACAACATTCGAAACTCAGTACCGGTAGTCAAAGAACTGGTGGGCATAAATTATGTCATACATCACCCCCAACACCAAAGAATCAAATGATTCAGACATCTCGTGCAATTACAAACACACCATCCAGCACGACGTGTCTACATAAAAACATTCAATGGCAACAAGGCTAGAGGAAGAGGGCAACCGAGAGAGACCTGGATAGACGGAGTCAGGGAAACATTAAGGGGGTGTAGCTATGGTCAACACCCAAATGCTATAGATTTTGGTCTAAAGCTTGCTTTTCTGCATTTAAGGGGTGACATAGTACAAAAAAAGGTTACCAAGCAAAAAATTCAAAATTTCAGCCATAATCATCTCGAGCCATCAAAAATAAAGGATTGATTCAGCATTTTTAAAACCAATTTTATATTTTGTCAATCATCAACACTCGTCAAGATAGAAGCCTAATATTTGGCATGGCAATTACTGTTGGTAGGTAGAATAACCTTACAGGGCCAAATTTGAATTTTCTGTACATGTACTAACTTGTGAGCTTTACAGTCCTTGTTATGCACTACATTCAGGTCACCAATATTTTAAAACTCATGGCATCCCCCTGACCCAAGGTCTCCGGCTGGTGGCAGAGAGACGTCTCTTTGGGTTTTTCTTCCCGTGACACCCAAAAGGGTATTATAAGCGGCGGATAAAAGTAAAGTAAAGCATGATGTGTGTATGTGTGGGGGGTGGAGTTGACGAAAGGGAAAAGCGCGGCGGGGAGGCTGAGATCAAATTACATGTTATATGTGATTAATCTATCAATATCATAGTCATACTGATCAGGGGGGGAAAACGCATGTAAGACAATAAAGAGTGTTCAGTTTGAGAAAGTTTAATCATGCATTCTCAGCTCATCTGCTGAGAAGTACAAATTCAGAACATAATATGTATGTGCATGTACATACATGTACTTGATATGCAATCTGCTGAAAAAAACAACATATTACATGTTTCATTGTTAGTTGTTCTAAGTGTTGAGATCTGAGCGTGTAAGGTAAGAACCAATCCCTAAATCATGAAATTATCAACTTACAAAGTATAAGCAATGCAAAATGCATCTAGCCTATGATATATAGTTAAAACACAAGAACAAAGAATATAATGACATTGTAACAGAGAACATGGATTAGAAAACAGTAGTAACGTCATGGTTGTCACTGAATGTGAAGTATGTAATAATATACAGGCTTATCTGGAAAAATGAATGGTCTCTCAAGAATACACATAATAGTAGCAAGCTTCACACTTTCACGCAGATTTCTTATAAAAAGCAAATTGCTTAATTCCAGTCTTACGTCTGTATAATAATTATTGTTAAAGCGAATATGTTTTTCTTACACTACATACTTTTGGGTAAAATGTTATAAATGATTTGGTCGCTTTTAAGCGCAAGGGGGCTATCCCGAAAAATTATGTTTTGAAAAAATCGAAGGTAAACCTTTTGGCCCCTTTTTTCAGTTTCTTTAAAAGGCAAAGAGATTTTCTCTATAACCTAACATGATACGCACCAGTGAAACCAAACTTTTCCTATAGGTAGGGCAAGGCCCACTTTTGGTGCAGGTCAAGATTTCTGGAAACCACCGAAATCTGGGTTTGCCCCCTTGTCCAAAAAAGCGACCATTTATACATGCATTCAAGGAAAGAATTAATGTTAATCATTGCTATTTATGGCTAAGCTGTACATGCACAGCAGTTGACGAAGGTTACGCCTCAGTCATCTATAGCTGTCCTCGCGGTTTTATGCAAAAAAAAATTCTGAAATTATGCAGCAAACTGAGCCCAAAAAATGTGAAATTTTGCGATACTGTTAAGTTTAACGAAGAATGATAAAGGAAAATAATCAGTAATTTTCCCAAAAATGATCAAATTTAGCTAAATTATGCGGGTTGCATAAAACCTCGGGGACAGCTTATTCGGGCAGTGCGATTGTGACGTAGTTTACTCTTCCTCCAAACAGTTTACACTGTCGTGTGACCTGGTCTGTCTGCTTCACCGCAAGTCGTCACTCACAGTAACACTCACAGTAACACTCACACTCACAGCCACAGTCAGTCACAGGCGTAGCCAAGGTCTAGCTCATTGCCGGTTTAGTTCGGTACGTCATCGCTCTAACTCTGTCTGACTGTCTGTCTGTCTGTCTGTCTGTCTGTCTGTCTGTCTGTCTGTCTGTCCGTCCCCCCCTCCCTCCTCCCCCTTCTCCCCCCCCCTCTCTCTCTCTCTCTCTCTCTCTCTCTCTCTCTCTTTCCCTCCTCCCCCCTCTCTCTCTTTCTTCCTCTCTCTCTCTCTCTCTCTCTCTCTCTCTCTCTCTCTCCCTCTCTCCCTCTCTCTCTCCCTCCCTCTCTCTCTCTCTCTCTCTCTCTCTCTCTCTCTCCCCCCTCTCTCTCTCTCTTCCCCCTCTCTCTCTCTCTTTCCCTCCCCCCTCTCTCTCTCTCTCTCTCTTTCCCTCTCCCCCCCCCTCTCTCTCTCTCTCTCTTTCTCTCTCGCATCACCGTGTAATTTATACAAAGCTCATCGTACCAAGCACTGATACCTCCTGTTTTGATGCAGCTTTGAAGTTAACGGTGCAGACCACAACAGATGGAAACAAAAACAAACCAAAAAACCCCAAAAAAAGAAATAACTGGATATGCTTTAAATTAACATAATGACCTAAGGATTTGTCAAAGAAAAGTAAGTCAATGGCTTCAAGTATTTAAAAAAGTGAAAAAGAACATCAAATTACAATGTATAGCAAAAAGTGAAAAAGAACATGAAATGTGAAATCGAAGTTTGAAATATTCAACAACAAATTCTATACACGTAGATCTAGCTCTGTGTAGCCTACGCGCATACAGAATATTGGTTGGTGCAGGACCGAGACAAAGCGCGAAATAGTGCGATGGCATTTCGCTTCCTCAGAGTAAAATTACAAAGTTCTATCAGCTCAGTACCTAGATTTGATAAATTTGAATTTGACGTCAAAATTTTTGAGTTTCACAATATTATGTCAAGCTTTTTCGAATGCAGTTCTTTGAATTTCTTGATAACGATTCCGAATAATCTTACGATTTTGATAGAGCATAGAGAAGATAGAGCATTTGCTTTCTGACCTCATACTCTTCTTACTCTTAGTAACTCAACACGGCCAAAAATGTCAGATAGAACTATGTTATTCTGAGGTAACGATTTGTCAGAGTCTTGCATCCACATTCGACTTTAATTATCGTCATATTTGAGGACTGAGCAATTCATGAGAACTCTGCAACGAAAAAAAAGAAGAAAGGGGGAAATAGTATTTATCTTTAAAAAGAAAATGGGTAGAAATAAATTTTTTTAATATTGAAAAAAAATCTTAAAAATAGTTTTTATCAGAAAAAGAATGCGTGGAAATAGTTTTTATCTGAAAAAGAACGAGTGGAAATAATTGGGGGTTTTTAATATAAAAAAGATTGCGTGGAAACAGTTTTTATCAACAAAAAAACCCCAACAACAAACAAACAAAAGAAAGAATACGTGGAAACAGCTTTTATCTATAAAATTTTAAAAAAGAATACGTGGAAACAGCTTTTATCTATAAAATAAAAAAAAGAATACGTGGAAACATCTTTTATCTATAAATTTTTTAAAAAAGAATACGTGGAAACAGCTTTTATCTATAAAATTTTTTAAAAAGAATACGTGGAAACAGCTTTTATCTATAAAATTTTTTAAAAAGAATACGTGGAAACAGTTTTTATCTATAAAACAAAAAAAGAATACGTGGAAACAGCTTTTATCTGGAAAAAGAATACGTGGAAACAGCTTTTATCTGGAAAAAGAATACGTGGAAACAGCTTTTATCTGGAAAAAGAATACGTGGAAACAGCTTTTATCTGGAAAAAAGAATACGTGGAAACAGCTTTTATCTGAAAAAAGAATACGTGGAAACAGCTTTTATCTGAAAAAAGAATACGTGGAAACAGCTTTTATCTGAAAAAAGAATACGTGGAAACAGTTTTTATCTGAAAAAAGAATATGTGGAAACAGCTTTTATCTGAAAAAGAACGCCACAAGCACCACCAATGACGTCATCAACACCTTCACATCCGGGTCAATGAAGGCAGCGGACCCATCATAGAGGCGGAACAGAGTCCTCGGCTTGTGAGAGGGCGTGACCCCGGCGTCGAATCTCTGCGGGCAGTCGTCATAGAGCCTCTCCTGCTCCGTGAGAACCATGTACAGGCGTGCGCCCTCGATGTCGTTGCTGTTGGCGCGCTGGTCACGGGGGCAGCGCGCGGTCTCCGCCCGGGACATGGCTATTTCTGTCCAGCTGATGCGTTCGTAGACCTGGGGGGAGGGTCAGAGGGTGGTAGATAGGGGGGGGGGGGGGTTGGATTGTTTTTTTTTTCTGAGTTTAACAACGCCCCCCCTCTCTCTCTCTCTCTATTTCTTTCAATTGTTCCCAATTTCTCTCTCTCTCTCTCTCTCTCTCTCTCTCTCTCTCTCTCTCTCTCTCTCTCTCTCTCTCTCTCTCTCTCTCTCTCTCTGTCTCTCTCTCTCACACACACACACACATACACACACATACACACACACAAACACACACACACACACACACACAAACACCCACATATACGTATTGATATGCAATTAGAAAGGTTACTGAGCAAGAAGAGTATCTATTATAGTAACAGGTACGTCCTAATGTAGACTACAACAGAGAAATATTATTAAGAACAAAGGCAAACAAACAGAATGTGATTCTTCACAAATACTGCTGACGCGTTGCCTTTTTACGCTAAAGTGAGAGTCAACATGGACTTTTAAAAAATATGGAACTTGTTATACACGTATTATCATAATCTTTTGTTACAATGGAAGTTCATACAGGTAACTCGCTATGCTGACCCTGAAATTACCAGTTGATTAGAAAAATGTCGTGATAACACCAGAGTGCATAACCTACTGTCCAGAATCTGTATAATTATTATTTCATATGTCATTTACAGTCTTAAAATGTAGTTGAATGTCCACACACACAACAGCAATACGAGTGGGTGGTTGGCGGGTGCTCTTGTATGGTTTGCTCCTTCATTTTTATCAAACATCTATTGTCCTTACCTCTCCTCATTCTTTTTTTTTTAGGGGGGGGGGTTGTTACTCTCATGCAACACCTATAAATCGTCGGCGCTAGTATGACCTTTTTACTTTTAGTAAAAGTTTTACGGCACTTGCAGCACAATAGGTGCCGAAGATTTGAGGTGTTACAGGAGAGTAACAAACACAAAAAGAAGGAGGGGAGATAAAGACGATAAATGTTTTATAGGAAAGAAGGAGCAAAACCACACCAGAGTACCCGCCAACCACCCACATCGGATGTCTACACACAACAACTATGCAAGCGGGTGTTTGGCGGCTGCTCTAGTGTGGTTTGCACCTTTATTCGTATCAAATACATGTATCTATTCCTACTTATTTTCCCTCCTTCTTTTTTCGTGTATCTGTCCTCCTTTTTTTTGTGTGTTACTCTCTTGTAGGCCTACTTGTAGCACCTCTAACTCGCCGGCACATATATAACCTAATTGTGCTGCAAGTGCCGTAAAACTCTCAACAATACGAAACAAGTGTAATAATACTCACCCAGCACCGGAACCTGGAGATGGCGTCCTCCTCGTCATAGGTGATGAGATAGGACTTCATGTCCTCCATCCAGTGGCCCGTGCAGGTCAGGATGTGGTCTGGCTCGTCGTACTCGCCTGAGGGACGGACAGCCATGACGATAGCCGGTAATTATAGTGATGGTAGTAATAATTTAAAAATTTTTAAATAATAATAGTAATGGTAAAAATAATGGTAATAATAATAATAATAATAATAATAATAATAATAATAATAATAATACGAATAATAATAATGATGATGATAATGATAATGAGGATAATAATAATAATAGTAATAATAATAATAATATTAATAACAATAATAAATGGTAATAATAATAATAATAACAATAATGATAATAATAATAAGAATAACAACAACAACAATAATAATAACAATAATAATAATAATAATAATAATAATAATAATAATAACAATAGTAGTAGTAGTAGTAGTAGTAGTAGTAGTAGTAGTAGTAGTAGTAGTAGTAGTAGTAGTAGTAGTAGTAGTAGTAGTAGTAGTAGTAGTAGTAGTGATTAGAGGAAAAAGAAGAAGGATTATGGAGATGAGGAGAAAGAGAGAAAAAAAAGGAAAGGATATCTCCATTCACATTCATTAATTAATTATCATTTTAAAAAGTGAATACAATTTTAATAAACAGGGATGTGCTTTCTGAGATGATTTGTTCAGTTATCTTATTACAGCATTAGCAATCCAAGATAATCGAGGAAAAAAAAACCCAGAAAGATATTAGAAAGATCTGAGGAAAGGAAACTAACGACGATCTAGAGGAACATTAACAAAATGAGATTCTTTATACATGTGTCTCTCTGTACAAAGTCGGCCAGATGTTAAAAAGTAGTAACCAGAAAATTTTGTTTTTAGAAATTGAAGTTTCTCAAGCTATATTGTAATGTAATGGTTGCATGTGCTCAAGACGTATTTTGTCCAAATTCAAATTCTAAATGTTGAACAAAAGCAAGAAAAAATACATAGTGTAGGTACAATTGTTGAAAGAATAAATCATTAAAACATTGTTTCTACCCCCCCCCCCCGGCTCTGTCTGTCTGTCTGTCTGTCTGTCTGTCTGTCTGTCTGTCTGTCTGTCTGTCTGTCTCCCTCTCTGTCTCCCTCTCTCTCCCCTTCTCTCTCTCTCTTTCTCTTTCTCTCTCTCTCTCTCTCTCTCTCTCTATTTTTCTATCTTTCTATCTCTCACTCTCCCCCTCTCTCTCTGTCCCCTTCTCTTTCCTATAAACGTTTACGTTGTAGTTGTAGACTTACTCGTACATTTGAAAAGTTTGCCGAAGATACATTTGTATTGATATATGTGGAGTATAAGACAGCACTAAGGTGGCGAAGGAGCTGACTTCCGGTAGTGAATGTGACGTAACGGGAGTGATTCTATAAAAATACCGATATGTGTGTACTTGACTTACCAATGGGCCTCCCTCGATAGTCCACCGTCTCGCAGTACCAAGCATCCACTTCTATCCGACTCAGGTCAGTGGCACAAGACTTGATCTCGGACACGTTGTTCAGACATTTGATCTGATTCCTGGGCCGCACCGTGACGCCACGGATACGTGTGCCGTAGAGCTGGTACGGATCCGTTGACCGTTGGTCGAAGTAGTAGCGTCCACCTATCGGGCACGCCACAGGGGACGGGGGGTCCTGGATTAAAACCTCGTACTTCCAGTCCGCGTTTTCCCTGGTAAGAGTCAGCCACTGCCAGCTGCACGTTTCCCGAAAGGTTCTCGTGAGGAAATCTTCGCTGCGTGTTGCGGTGTTGCCTTGTCGGATCGGAAGCTTGAGCGGTCGTCCGACTCGGTAGCGAACGATCCCTTGGTGTCTCGGCGCCATATCGAAGCAGACAAAGTTGATCTCGCAGCGTCCGACGACCACTTTGGTCATGAGGTATCGCGTGTCCAGCTGTGCCTGGCAGGAGAACCAGGTCTCCTCGTAATCGTATCTACTCCTCAGTGTCCTGTAGTGGATGTGGGTTTCGTTGATCCACACTCGTGACGCGAACTGGAGGCCTTGTGTGAACCAGGTTCCGGTCAAGTTGCGGGGCAGGGTGCAACGAGGGACCATGTATTCCGTCTTGGGAGCGATCCGCCGGAGCACGATCCTGATGGGCGAATCTTCCAGACTCTTGAGCTGTCTGCAGTCTCCGAACCGGCTCATTCCCCATCGTATGGTGTTGTCCTCGGCATGCTGGTCCCTCAGCGTGATCAGGCACTTGAACTTGTCCTGCGGGGAACAGCGAGAGAGTCCGAGACTGGATTCTTATACTGGGTGCCCTTTGGCATGATCGGGTCGGGTAGGGCCGGGTCGGTTTGCCAGCCAGATTGAGGGCGCAAAGTGGCTACCGTTTCACCAACTGATCGCCCACCAACTCGTCGCCTCAAAAACAAACGCGTTTATTTTCAGTTCCAGGCGACGAGTCGGGCGATCGACCCGACCTGACCCGATCCTATCCGCAATGGACACCCCGTATTAAGTCAACGGCTCAGTGTTAGATCCCGTCATAGGATACGTCACTTTTAGAAATAGCAGTGTTTTACACTAAGCAGTCTGCGCACCCTTGAAACTCACTTTAAAAACTAACGACCCCCCCCCCCCCCTAAAAAAGAAAGAAATTTAAAAAATAACTAAATGAAACAACAACAAAACCCAAAACAAAACAAAATGAAACTTAAATTATGATTATTGTTATTATTATTGTTATTATTAATATTATTATTGATATTATTATTAATATTATTATTAATATTATTATTATTATTATTATTATTATTATTATTATTATTATTATTATTATCATCATTATTATTATTATTACTATTATTATTACGTGAATCACTATTATTACAGCATGTCTCTGTCAATGGCATACATTATATAAAGAGACACGATCAGCACTCAATAATATTTTTGTCTCGGAAAGGAGCGAGTGGCGTATTTTCTCACTTAAAGCATAGCAGTTAGCAATTGGGCGCTTTTAAGGACAAGCCGACTATCCCAGATTTCGGGGGTTTCCAGAAATCAAGACCTACACCAAAAGTGGGGATTGCCCTACCTATAGGAGAAGTTTGGTTTCATTGGTGAGTATATTTGTTTTGTTATAGAGAAAACTCTCCTTGTCTTTTAAAAAACCTGAACAAGGGGGAAAAACTTTACTTTCGATTTTCTCCAAACGGTATTTTTCGGGATAGCACCCTTGTGCTTAAAAGCTACCGATTTAAATCTTTATTGCAAACAATGGTGTGTTTTGTCACACAATACGCAATGGCCGTGAAAACAAGAACAAATGAGGCGACAGAGGTGTGGTTCATAAGACGCATGCTGCGTATTCTAACGGACAGCTAGAAAAAAAAACGAAGAAGTCTTGGGTGAAGCAAATTGCAGACGACAGCTTATGACGAATACATGTATACAAAAGCGACAAGCAAAGTTGATTGGACACACAATGCTGCAAGAAGCATTGGAGGATAGTATTGTAACAACAGGCAAGTTTGATGGAAAGAGAGACAGAGGGAGAAGATACGGGACTGGTTGACAACATGGCTGGGAACAGCAAGAACGACAGATACCATAGCTGCAACGCAAGGCAGAGTAAAGTGGAGGTCCAAGATTGCCCACGCCAGTCGGCAAGGCACTGAATGATGATGATGGAGCAAGGCACCGAATGATGATGATGGAGAAAGGCATCGAATGATGATGATGGGGCAAGGCACCGAATGGTGATGATGGGGCAAGGCACCGAATGGTGATGATGGGACAAGGCACCGAATTGTGATGATGGGGCAAGGCATCGAATGGTGATGATGGGGGCAAGGCATCGAATGATGATGATGGGGCAAGGCCTCGAATGATGATGATAACCGTTTTTCCTACCTGAGCCACACGCTGCACGCTGTCTGTGAGAGCTATGAAGGTAAACGTCTTAGAGCCCACCACGGCGTCCCATCTACCCAGACACTGGAACCTGGAGAGGGAGAAGAGACAATTGAAGGAAGGAACGGGGGAGGGAGAAGAGACAATTGAAGGAAGGAAAGGGGGAGGGAGAAGAGACAATTGAAGGAAGGAAAGGAGGAAGGAGAAGAGACAATTGAAGGTAGGGGAGGATGGGAGACACATGAAGGAAGGAAAGGGGAGGGAGAAGAGACAATTGAGAAGGGGGGGGGGGGAGGGGGAAGAGACAATTGATGGAAGGAAAGGGGGAGGGGGAAGAAA